GCGTCGGCTTCGGCCTCCCTCACCTTCACACTTGACTCAGGGGCTTCTCGCTCCTTCTTTCGAGACCGCACCACACTCACGCCGCTTGGCCGGCCGGTTGCAGTCTCCCTGGCTGACCCCTCTGGGGGTCCTGTCCTCTCTCACTTCTCCACTGTCCTCCCGTGTCCGGCTGCCCCCTCGGGCACCTTGTCTGGTCTGTACCTCCCCTCGTTCTCGACGAACTTGGTGAGTGGTGCTGACTTGCAGGATGCGGGGGTTCACCAGTTTACTCCTGCGAGTCAGCGGGTGACCCACTGCTCGGATGCCCGCACAGGCCGACACCTGGCCACGTTCTCGCGTCGGCCAGGGTCGAGTCTCTACACACTGACCACTGCGTCTCCTCCTGTCCCTGCGTCTGGCCAGGTAGCTGCGTCGGGTCAGGTGTTTGCTGCTGCGTCCAGGTCTGGTCCTGAGTCTGCCCCCTGCTCGTGTCGCCGCCTGTCTCACGAGACTCTCCTGTGGCACCACCGTCTTGGCCACCCCTCCTTGCTTCGTCTTCGGGGCATGGCTTCCCGTGTCCTTGTCTCTGGTCTTCCCCGGTCTCTCCCTCCCCTCCCTTCGGGACCCGGACCTTCTTGTGTCCCCTGTGTCGAGGGGCGGCTCCGGGCTGCCCCTCACTCCTCTCAGTTTCCCCCGACAGAGGCTCCTCTGCAGACGCTTCACATGGACGTGTGGGGCCCCGCCCGCGTCCGTGGGCAGGGTCACGAGCGCTACTTCCTGCTGGTGGTTGACGACTACTCGCGTTACACCACAGTCTTCCCCTTGCGCAGCAAGGGTGATGTCACTGAGGTGTTGATCGACTGGATCCGCGCAGCTCGTCTCCAGCTCAGGAGGAGCTTCGGCTCGGACTTTCCTGTTCTGCGTCTGCACTCTGACCGAGGTGGAGAGTTCTCCTCTGGCCTTCTGCGAGCCTACTGTCGTGCACGAGGCATCCGCCAGACCTTTACGCTTCCGGACTCTCCACAGCAAAATGGGATTGCTGAGCGCCGCATTGGCATGGTCATGGACGTCGCTCGTACGTCCATGATGCATGCGGCTGCCCCCCATTTTCTGTGGCCGTTTGCGGTTCGGTACGCGGCGCATCAGATCAACCTTCACCCCAGGGTCTCCCGGCCGGAGACCTCCCCAGCTCTGCTGTGGACGGGGAAGGTCGGCGATGCGTCTGCGTTCCGTGTCTGGGGATCTCGGGCGTTTGTCCGCGACTTGTCTGCGGACAAGCTGTCCCCTCGTGCTGCTCCCTGTGTCTTCCTCGGCTTCCCCCCTGACGCTCCAGGGTGGCAGTTCTACCACCCCTCCTCTCGTCGTGTTCTGTCCTCCCAGGACGTCACGTTCGACGAGTCAGTCCCCTTCTACCGCCTCTTCCCCTACCGCACTCCTTCCCTCCCCCCGCCACCGCACTTCCTTGTGCCAGGTCCCCCCCCGGTAGACCCCCTTCCCCCTCAGGGTCCTGCCCCTTCAGGTGTGTCCCAGGTAGACGCAGTCGAGCCGGTCGAGGTTGCTGGTGACTCTGGTCCTGCTGCGGGTGCTGAGCCTGGGGGTGCTGAGTCTGGGGGTGCTGAGCCTGGGGGCACTGCGACTGGGGGTGCTGAGCCTGGGGGTGCGGAGTCTGGGAGTGCTGAGCCTGGGGGTGCTGCGACTGGGGGTGCTGAGCCTGGGGGTGCGGAGTCTGGGGGTGCTGAGCCGTGGGGTGCTGCTACTGGGGGTGCTGAGCCAGGGGGTGCTGCGTCTGGAGGTGCTGAGCCTGGAGCTGCGGAGCCTGCGGCCACTGGACCTCCCCTTGTGGCGTCTGGCGGTGCGGGACCTGGCGGTTCTCCGGGTGCTTCGCCTCGGCGGGAGCCCCTCTCTCCACAGGAGCTGCGCGAGTGGTTTGCCCGGCGCTGGAGGCGTGCTGCTGGAGCTGGAGGTTCTTCGGCTACTGAGGGTGCTGGTGCCGCGGGTCTCGGAGGTGCTGGAGCTGGAGCTGCTGAGGGCGTTGGCGCTGAGGCTACTGCTGTTGGTCCTGGAGGCGGTCCTGCTGGGGGTGCTACTGGTGCTGCTGGAGGTCCTGGAGCTGGAGGTGCTACTGGCGCTGGTGCTGCCGCTGGGGGTACTGGTGCTGTCCCTGCTGTGTCTGGAGTCGCCGCGCGGCCTAGACCGTACTTCGTTCCGCTCCTTCAGCAGGTTCTTGGTCTCCCGCCTTCTACTGGTCCTCCTCCTCCCTTAGAGTGTCCACAGCCTGTCCTGTCACAGTTACAGTTACAGCCGGCCTCCCCACTGCCCGCTCCTTCTCCCTACACTGGTCCTACTGGAGGTCTTGCTGAGCGTCGTGAGCCTGCGTCTCGCCCTGCGTCGCCTGTCCGTGCTGCTCGCACTAGTGGTCGTGGTTCGCGTCAGCGTCCTCCTCCTGTCCCTGGCACGCACCGGATGTCTCTGCGTCCGTCCACTGCTCCTCTGCGTGCCCCTTTGCCTTCTCCTCCTGAGTCCTCTCTTCCTGCTCTTCCTGACCCGGAGTCGGACTCTCTTCGTGCTGCCAGTCCTGCTGTCACACGTCTCCTTGCTACTGTCGTCACTGACCCCTCTTTTGAGTCCACTGCTGCGTCTGCGCTTGTTGCTGAGCTCGTCGACTTTGCTGCTCGCTGTCGTCTAGACTACGCTGCCGGTCTTGTTGCTGAGTCTGCGTCTGTCTGTCCTCCGTCCGTCGGGGGTGAGTGTGCTCTTGGCACGGACGTCCTTGAGGACAGGCAGGAGGAGTTCAGGTGTCTGGCTGCTGCTTCACCTCATCTCGCGTCCGTACTACTTGCCCCTGAGGGAGACCCGGATGCACTAGACATCCCGACTCCGCGCTCTTACGCGGAGGCCGTAGAGGGTCCCTACTCCTCTCAGTGGCAGGCAGCTATGGATGCAGAGATGGCGTCCTGGAAGTCCACAGGCACCTACGTTGACGCGGTTCCCCCTCCTGGGGCGAACATCGTCAGTGGCATGTGGATCTTCAGGGTGAAGCGGCCGCCGGGCTCTCCACCTGTCTTCAAGGCGCGGTACGTCGCTCGTGGCTTCAGTCAGCGGCAGGGAGTTGACTACTTTCAGACCTTCTCTCCCACCCCGAAGATGACCACTCTTCGGGTGCTGCTGCACATAGCCGCTCAGCGCGACTACGAGCTCCACTCTCTTGACTTCAGTACTGCTTTCTTGCAGGGTAGCCTGCACGAGGAGATCTGGCTGCGCCGTCCACCTGGCTTCACTGGGACTTTTCCTCCTGGCACCCAGTGGAGCCTCCGACGGCCAGTCTACGGTCTCCGCCAGGCACCGCGTGAGTGGCACGACACACTGAGGACTACGCTTGCGGCTCTTGGGTTTGCTCCCTCTACTGCTGACCCGTCGTTGTTTCTGCGCACCGACACTTCTTTGCCGCCGTTCTACGTCCTCGTGTACGTCGACGACTTGGTCTTTGCCACAGCTGACACTGCTGGACTAGCCTACGTGAAGTCCGAGCTGCAGAAGAGACACACGTGCACAGACCTGGGTGAACTGCGCAGCTACCTTGGCTTGCAGATCACTCGGGACAGAGCACGCCGCACCATTACCTTGACTCAGTCACACATGGTGCAGCAGGTCCTTCAGCGCTTCGGCTTCACGTACTCCTCGCCTCAGGCCACTCCTCTGTCTACTCGCCACTCGCTCTCAGCTCTGCCTTCGGATGAGTCCGTAGAGTCGAGTGGCCCGTACCCAGAGCTTGTTGGCTGCCTCATGTACCTGATGACCTGCACACGACCTGACCTTGCATACCCTCTTAGCATTCTTTCACGCTATGTTGCTCCTGGGAGACACCGACCAGAGCACATGGCTGCAGCGAAGAGGGTGTTGCGCTACTTGTGCAGTACGTCGGGCATGGGGCTAGTGCTTGGAGGGCGGAGTCCAGTGGTCCTCACTGGGCACGCGGACGCTTCTTGGGCAGACGACCAGGCTACACAGCGGTCGTCGCAGGGTTACACCTTCAGTCTTGGTTCCGGCTCTGTTTCGTGGCGGGCTACTCGCTCGTCCTCTGTTCTCAGCTCCAGTTGTGAGGCTGAGATCTACGCCGGGGCCATGGCTGCACAGGAGCTTCGCTGGCTCACCTACCTGCTGACTGACCTTGGAGAGCCGCCTCGTTCTCCTCCAGTGTTGTACGTAGACAACAAGGCCATGCTGGCCTTGTGTCGAGAGCAGCGCTTGGAGCACAGAACGAAGCACATTGCTCTCCGTTACTTTCTTGCTCGTGAGCTGCAGCAGCGTGGTCAGTTGCGACTTGCGTACGTGGCCTCTGAGGCCAACACTGCTGATGTGTTCACCAAGGCACTTGCGCCTTGTGACCATCAGCGCTTCTGCACCCAGCTGGGTCTTGTACCTGTCTTGCCTCACTTGCTCTCTTCTTGACCTTGCTTGTACTGTCACATATATATTCCTGCTCTTGCTTGTCTAGCTCTATATATATATGTGTACTCCTGCATGTGAACTGGCCCTGTTGCCCTGTCGTTGTGCTCGGACTGTGTGGTGACTTTGTGATCCACCCTGAGCTTGCTCTGCTTTGCTTGACTGGTCTTGTGACCCCTTGTTCTCCCCCACTTTGCCTATGGGGGTGTGTCAGAACATATATATAGCTTATGCTGTTGTGTAGGCTATAGTGGGGTATCCCATAGGGGGTACAACCCAATTAGGGTTTCCCATATGTACTCACTTCATTCATAGTTCATTCATTCTCGTTCTACTCTTCTCAGCACACTCACCATGCACTCATGCATGTGCGGGCAGGCACCATACATACGTCATCTGCCCCAGCGGCCCGTCTTCTCACCACGCCACACGCACACCACGCCGCTCTCCAACTCACCGTGCGCTCATAAGCGTGCACGTGCCCGCACACCACCACGTCCGTGTGCGCATCGTACATCAGCTTCTCCAGTGAAAGCCGCGTTTGAAGGAGCTTCAGAAGTCAGCTCACTGTGCGCTCATAGGCGTGCACGTGGCAGCACACCACCACGTCCGTGCGCATGCCCACATTCATGCCCGTGTGCATGTCTGCATCCATGCCCGTGTGCATGTCCACATGCATGCCCATGCGCACGCATGCCCATGTGCATGCAGCGCAACGTTCTCACACTCACCGTGCGCTCATAGGCGTGCACGTGGCCACACACCACCACATCAGTGCGGGCATCATACAGCAGCTTCTCCAGCGCCAGGCACCTTCTAAGGTGCCTCACACCCACCGTGCGCTCGTAGGAATGCACGTGGCCGCACACCACCACGTCCGTGCGGGCATCATACAGCGTCTTCTCAAGAGCCACCCGCATGGCCTCGCCGCTGAGATGGTGGTCCTTGTTGTTGTGATACCACGCCTCGTGGAACGCCACTAACAGCCACGGCGTCACCTTGCGATCCACCTTGGCTAGATCCGCCTGGGGAGGGTATGAGTGAGGAGGGTACGTGGGGGGAGGGGTGGGGAAGGGGTTTGAAGGAAGGGAGGAGAGGAGCAATGCAAAGCCACGGTCTCACCTTGCGGATCACCCGAGGGGTGGGAGAAGTTTGGAAAGAAGGGGGGAGAGGAGCAATGCAAAGCCACACCGTCATCATGCGGTCTGTTAGAATCCCAGCCACTACAGCACTGGATAAAATAGCTTGTTAAATAGCGAATGAGTGTGCCCATAACCCCCTAGACAAGCGTGCATAGAACCCTTTCTTAAAATCAATCGGGGATCCTTGTGCAGGTCTTCTACCCCCCCCCCCCCCCTCCTTTCCACTGGGATGCCTAAGGACACGGCACGGCACCGACGGCAGCAACAGAATGGGCACCAGAATGGGCGCACATGGAGATTCGAACCCGAGTTCTTCGCACTGATACCATCTCAGGATCCCAGCCACTACACCACTGGGATAAAATGATTTGTTAACTAGCGGGTGAATGCGCCATAACCACCCAGGCAAGCGTGCCTGTAACTTTTCCCTAGGATCAATAGGGATCCCAATGCAGGCCTTCTGACATGGTCCACCTTGTCTAGATCCGACTTTTGACGCGTCTCAAAAGTCGCCTCAAAACTCGCCGCAAAGCCACGGCGTCACCCTTCGTTCCGCCTCGCGATACATGGCCCTCAAAACACAGAAATGTATCGCCGCACTCCCAACACGGCTGCACTCCCAACATGGTCACACTTCTGGCATGCCCTGCCTGCCCAGCATAGTGTCGACGGTCACCCACCCACCCCAGGGAGACAGACATGTGGGCGTAACAACCGACGACAAGCACAGGGAGAATCGCACAGGGAAACTCGCAACACACCTAGAGCCACTTGTACTGCGCAGACCCTTGGGAGTAGTCCGAATAACACGACAGCATCACCCAATGAACGCTGCCGCTATCAAACGAGTAGAAGAGGTTCGAGGGCGACCCGCTGGCAGCAGCAGGCATGGGCCAGCGAAGGGGTTCAGCCTCGGCGCGCCTTCATCAGCCTCGTCCTCGTGGTTCCCCGGGGCCATCATCCAAGGGCGCAGGGACGCTGCTGGCTGAATGATGGACTGAAACTTGTCCCAATCTGGTTGGTAGCCGTTGGCGTAGGAGAGGTCCCCAAGGAAGACCACGAGGGCGTGCGGCATGTGGGAGAGGCGTGCGATGGTGGCGGCTGCTGGTGGCTTGCAACCCATGTCGGCTGATTGAGGGGGAGGAAGGGGGGGTGGGGGGGAGTTGCGTGTGTGTAAAGGGAAGGCAAGCGTGAGATGGTGGCGGCTGCTGGTGGCTTGCAGCCAATATCGGCTGGTGGAGGGGGGGATGGGGTAGGGGGGGGGAGGACCTTTGAGTCGACTAAAGAGTTGCCTTATGGCGGCTGCTGCTGGCTTGGAGCCCATGCTGGCTGGTGATTCTGGGTGGGGGGTGGGGAGAAGGGGGAGGGGTGGGGGAGTGTGTGTGGAGGGAAGACCAAGCGAGCGTGCGGGAGAGGCGCGGGATGGTGGCGGCTGCTGCTGGCTTTTGGCCCATATCGGCTGGTGATGGGAGGAGGAGGGGAAGGGGGGGGGGGAGAAGGGGGACAAGAGTTAAAGGAAGGGGAGGTGCTTGTGTGTAGAGGAAAGAGTGGGGAGAAGTGGGGCGTGCAGGAGAGGCACGTGGTGGTGGTGGCGGCTGCTGGTGCTTCTGCTGCTGCTGCTGCTGTGTTTGTGTCAGCCAGTGAGCATGGGGTGAAGGAAAGGGAGGAGATGGTGGGAGAAGGGGGAGAACAGTGGGATGGATAGAGGGGCGCAAGAGAGGTGCGTGATGGTGGTGGCGGCTAACTGTTGCTGCTGCTGGGTCCATGTTGACCAGCGTGCATGGTGGGGACGGGAGGGTGGGTGGGGTTGGTGGTGGCGGCTGCTGGTGCTTGCTGCTGCTGCTGGGTCCATGTCGACCAGCGTGCATGAGGGGGACGGAGGGGAGGACATAGGGGCTAAAGGGGAGAAGGGGGAAAAGGAGAAGAAGGGGGAGAAAGGGGAGAAGAAGGGGGGAAGGGGGAGAAGAAGGGGGAGAAGCGGGAGAAGAAGGGGAGAAGGGGAAGAAGAAGGGGAGAAGGGGGAGAAGAAGGGGAGAAGCGGGAGAAAACGGGGCGGGAAAAAAGGGGAGAAGGGGCGTGAGAAGTTCCAAGTGGGCCCCTCAGGTGTAACTCCTGCTGCCACTCCCGCCCACTCCCCTTATCCTCAGCCACAACATAGCAAAACACAGTGCGACACACCCACGAGCGCCACATCAATGGGCTGGGACGATGACGGTGGCGTCTTGAAGGTAAACCCGGGCAAACACGAGCAGAAAGACTCTAATGATCTGGATGGGAAGCATGACGCACCCACGAGCGCCACATCAATGGGCTGGGACGGCAGCGGCAGCGTCTTGAAGGCAAACTCGGGCCCCGCGCCTCCCAGGCGGTAGTAGTAGGTGGTGGCGGGCTTTAAGACGCCGTCCTTGAAGCGCCGTCCCAGCATCACCTTGTGGATGTAACCTGACCTGCTTGCGAGCGGCAGGGCAGGGATGACGTGGCAACAGGGCATGGATGACGTGACACCGGAATTGTATGACGTGGAAACAGGCATGGATGATGTGGCAGTTGCAAAAGGACGCAGCCAGGGGGGTATTCCCTAACACATTGGATGCAGCATGCAGGGCGAGGCGGGACGGGAGCGAGGAGTGAAAGAGATACGGGGAAGAACGAAGCACTCATACGTGTATCCGTTGAACCGATAACCAGTCACACTCTTGGAAGCCAGTTTGGAGTATTGAATTTTGAGACAACTCAAAAAACGAAGCACTCGTACGTGTATTTGTTGAACCTATAACCAGTCACACTCCCGGAAGCCACTCTGGTGTACTTGGCGCGGCTCTCCCCGTACTCCACACGGGCTGGCGTGTTGCTAGCTGTCACCCACCACACCAGCACCCGCCCGCCCCCCGCCTGTGACACGTGCACCTGCAGGCGCAGAGGAGGGGGATATGGGGGAAGGGGGGGGGGGGGAGGAGAGGAAGGGGAGAGGAAGGGCATGGCGGAAAGGCATGGAGCAGTGGCTGCTGTGTTGCCAGCCGTCACCCATCACACCAGCACTCGCAAGGCCCCCGCCAGTGGCATGTGCACCTGCATGCGCAGGGGAGGGGGGGGAAGAGGGGGAGCCAAGGACATGCGCAAATGCATGGGGCAGAGGCGCAAAGGCATGGGGCAGAGGCGCAAAGGGATGCGGTAGAGGCGCAAAGGGATGCGGCAAAGGCACAGGGAAACGCAGGACGAGGCACCTCGACTGGCCATGCAGGGGAGGCCTCGCCTCGATTGGAAGGGCAGGCGAGAAGGGGCACGGGGCAAGGAGCAAAGGAAGGAGGCAAGGGGCAAGCAGCGTAAAGGGAAAGGGCAAGGACGAGGGGGAAGGCGGAAGTGGCGGCTACACGGACATGCGGGCAAGCGGAGTGCCGCGCACTGGCGTCGCACCTGTTGAGGCTGCGATTGCGCCATCTGCCGCAGCAGCACCCGGCCGCGCAACCAGGCGGTGCCATTTCCCCCCTGCGCGGGGGCAGGCGGCGGCGACGAGCAGCGCGAGCAGCGCAAGAGCGCGGAAACTGATGATATTGGGACTGGGAGCGCGGAAACTCCGGTCAACGGCACATGGCGATCGGCGGAGGCAATGCGCGCCGGAGCTAACGATGGCGGGACGACTATTATACATCACACGGCTGTGTTCGATACCCCAAATAGGAATAAATAGATACATGAAAACTCCTAATTGGAGCCAAGTAGTCGTATAGGTTTCCTTTTCGCGTAACGCCGGTTCGACGCCATGTAACGCCTTGCGAAGTTTACGGCGCCTAGGGAAGAGAAGTCTATTGTAACACGGACTTATAGAGAAACGCCCTTAAAAGCACAATAAAGACCCAGGCTTATAAATGAATGCCCACAAAAAGGGTCACTAGTAGGCTTATAAAAACGCCAACAATAAAACACACAAGGTAAACTAGCTCCTAAGATAGCTTTGAGTCTTCTAGACTTGGTAGTTGAAGCTTGGAGAGTGATAGAGTAGCTTCCACCAAAGGGATAGTTGGAACTTAGAGCACTTGTGAGGGAAAAGTTATGTACTTAGAGAAATCCCATTTCCAAAATTGATCAATTGGAGTTGGGAATGAGAGAATGAGCCTTGGAGCTCCAAACCCCTTCCTCAATACCCCTTGGGGAGCTCCACCTCCTCCATGGCAACAAGGGCAAGGAGCTCCTTAAGGTGAGTTTGCTTAGGTGGCATGTTGGTTGGATTTGCAACCAATGAGAGCAACTTATTTGTGATAAGAATTGTCTGGTTACCTGTTGTAACTTGTAACAGCAGCATTGAAATGTTATTGGTTTGAATGTCCACCAATGCAAAGGTTGGGTTGGTTCCCAACCTTGTTTGTCTTTTAGTGGGTGGTGATTCACAATTGTGGACCAATCAACAATCATCCCTTCCAACCCTTTCTTCCCGTAAGTCGCTACCTTGCGTAGGTAGCGCTTTAGAGAGCCTTAGCTAGAATAGTCGCTAGGGTAGGTAGGTGATGCGTTACATCTATTCTCAGCTGAGCTGCGTTGTCCTTAGTAAGGAACGGTCCTAAAAGTAATGTCATGCTACTATTACTAGTAGTAGTGCTGCGGAACTGGTATGCGAAGATGGCATTGCCAGTGGACGTTCGCATGCATCGCTTAGTCGTGAGATTTGATCGCACGATTCCATCCACAATTAGTTGTCACGTCAGAAACACGTGTCAATCAACGAACCGCTTAGAAATACTCCACCTTCCGGATCCATCAACTACACCGAAACTGCGATAATTCCACACCCCGTACGCTTCCCTAGCCAGACACCCTAAATAGTTTTTGGTTCGAAGACACGGGCACCCTGAAAATATGGGTCTATAATTAAATCACCGGAACGTCCAGCCTCACAAAACTTACGCTTTACAGTCAGATTGAGAGGGGAAATCTCCACATCATGCTTGTACTTCGGGAAATCTCGCCACGGGATTGCGTGAGTGTAACCTATATAATTCAAATAATGTTGTGAACCACTCTCAAAATCAGACTAAATGAGGGTGTTTACCCCCGGGCGTGAAGATAAGGGGTGTGGAATTATCGCAGTTTCGGTGTACAAATTACGCCATTTATGCCGATAAAAGGATGTGAAGCATCTGGCAACCAGAGTTCCTCTGAACTGAAGCCAACATCGCCGATGTGTCCGCAATCTGACATGCCAACATTGGCAGTGTCGTGTCGCTCTTACAAGCGTCGCATCGCCAACATTGCTGCCGGAGTGTTGAGCGATCGCAGATTGTCAGCCAGTAAAAAGCGTCGGACACTTTCGACACTGTAACATTCATGCTTACAAACGAGCACAGATTGTCGCAGGCGCCTATCTGACAACCCTTATATTGCCCAATCAGCACACACCGCCCCCTCCAGCCATCCGAATCATTAGCTGCTTATACCACGTCTGTTTTATTGAGGGACTCACATACTAAATGGATGGTATAGGGTACAATCACGGAATGGAACATTTGACTCAAATCGACTAATGAAGAATCCACCTTACCGTACCACACGTTCCATGATAGACCGTACCGTAGCCCCCCTCCTTGTCAACTCCCTCACTCTTCCACCACATTCACTCCCACACATCCAATGTCCGGAACATCACATCCACCCTCTTCACCTCCCTCTGCTGCCATGTATTCAGCGCTTCAATCTGATGCCGTCTCATCTGCCCGTCATTGATCAGAAAGTGCAGGTGCCGCAGGCTCAATCTCACACCCGCATGCGTCCCGCCCTCCACACCCCTCCCAATCCCACTCTCCGGAGGATCCCACGCTACATTCATAACCTGGTAACCAGCAAACCAGATCCGATAAGTAAAATGCCAATCAGTGATAATCCCACACTCACCCCGCGCCGACAGCCCCTCATCCAACCCCCCTAGAGCCAAAAACACATTGCGCCGCATCACAAACGGCGCAAAATCCACCACACCCGCGAAAAAACCCCGTAGACCGGTTCGGCGGTCGGAGGATGGGTGGGTCCAGAGCCATCCCCCGAACCTGTACCAGGGGAGCACCCCAGTTGCTCCCATCCACGTCAATCTTCCCTGTCCTGTAGCCCACTGCAGCGACTAGCGGGCGTGCCTCCATCTCGTGGAGGATGCCCCACAGCCAGTTGCAGTCCCAGGGCAGCAGGTCGTCATCCTGTAACAGGGTTACCACGTTACCGCGCGCTGTTTTGGCGTGGGTGTTGAAGCCGCGGATTTCGTGTGAGTTGTGGTCGAAGGTGACCTGCAGGTGGAAGTAAGGGTTGCCGGGACACTCCCTGCTGCTGCTGCTGCTGCTGGTTCTTGTGCTGCTGCTGCTGCTGCTGCTGCTTGTAGTGCTGTTTCTTTTCGTATTGGCAGTGGTAAGAGCACCAACAGCACCGGCAGAGGCAGCAGGGTCAGCAGGGTTGGTCAGCGGCTTCCTCCCACACCAATACTCCCTCCATTCCCTCCACTCCTCAGGACTATCCGCGTGAACTAACATCTCCACCACCCTGACACTCCCTCCCTCCACCACTCCCCCTTCCCACCCAGCCTCCCCCTTCCTAGCACCCCTTGTTCCACCCGCCTCCCCCCTTCGCCTCCCCCTCCCCGTCCCCCCAGCCCTCGGAACCCAGGTGCAGTTATGGGGGCGGGCGAGCAGGTCCGCAATCATGCCAGGCTGGCGAAAATACTGCAGGAGGAAGGAGACAGCGGGGGGGGAGGAGGGGAAGAGGTGTGGGGAGAGCCGTGCAAGAGGGGAAGGGGCTCTCAGCCCCATGCAGGTGCGAGCTGCCCTGCCGGTCTCCTGCCCGCTGCACCACCACGAGCTTCTCTCGCTTGCCCGCTCCTTGCCCTCCCCCTGCCTTCCCTCCTTACGTTCCTCCTCACTTCCCTCCTCTTGCCTTCCTTCATCCCCTTCCCCTCCTCCTCTTACTCCTCCTCCCCCACCACCTAACCCTCTTCCCACGCCTCCCTCCCCAAGTACCTTGCTCCCACATCCCGCCTCTCTCATCAGCTTGCTCCGCTCCTCCATTCTCAGCGGTAAGTCCCTCGCATCAACTCTGCACTGCGCCTGCAGCTGCTGCTGCAACCGCCGCAGGTCGGCTCTTATAGAAGCCATGACAGCCCTCAAGGGGTGCAATGGGGAGGCGAGTGAGGGAGAAGAGGACGATGGGGAGGCGAGTGAGGGGGAAGAGGACGATGGGGATGCAGAGGCGGAGGAGGAGGAGGAGGAGGAGGAGGAGGAGGAGGAGTAGGGAGTGGAGGATGGGTGGAGCAGCGACTGATGGTATTGCTGGTGAGCTGCATTGGGGAGGGGAAAAAAGATGAGTGTGAGGCCAGAGGAAGAATATGAGTGAGAAGATGAGTGTGTGGCAGTAGAAAGGCTGGCACAGGAGCAGCGACTGTTGGTATTGCCGGTGCGCTGCATTGTCGAAGGAGAAAATAGGCCAGGGGAAATGAGAGAGAAAGACGAGAGTGAGGCAGTAGAACGGTTGGCACAGGAGAAATGAAAACATGCAGCAGATGCAGAATAGAGACGACCAGACAAGATTGGATCAGAGCAAGGCACACAAAAGATAAAACTGCTAACAGACCTTGCCGGTGCCATCCATCCTCGGTACTGGCAGTCCGTATTCACATCATGCATCATCCCTCGTCCATTTTTTTGACCCGCATGCCATGTTCCCATGTCTGATGCCCCGCACGCATGCATGCACCAAATAGAATCCCTCTCTCCTTTCACAAGCTTTTATGTAGGGAAGGTTGACAGGGGGAAGGAGGAAAAAAGGGGGGAACGGAAGGTGGGGTTTGAACAATCAAGCACACATGCAGCACGCATTCAGCACACATGCAGCATGCGTGTCAAGCAGACACGTCAGCCCATCCAGACCCACCTTGAGCCAGTCTGCCCTGCATCGTCTCATGCTGCTGCAGCATTGCCAGGCACGACACAGCCTTCGCCTTCACCCCTTCCCTCCATCGCGCCTCCTCAACCAACTGTTGCAGCTGCTGTTGTTGCTCCTGCTGCTGCTGCTGATAATGATCCTCCCCCTGCTGCTGCTGCTGGTGCTCCTCCTGCTGCTGATGCTCCTGCTGCCGCTGCTCCTGCTGCTGCTTCTCCTCCTGCTCCTGCTGCTGCTTCTCCTCCTGCTCCTGCTGCTGCTTCTCCTCCTGCTCCTGCTCCTGCCTCTGTATTGGTCTTCCCTTGCTCGTCCCCACCGCCTTCACTAGACTGACGTTCCACTTCCGCTTCTTCAAGGCCCCTAACCGCCTCCTCATGCCTCCCCCTTCCACCCTTCTCTCTTCCCCTGCTCCAACGCTCTCCTTCTCCCTCTGGCTAACATCCCCTGTGTCCCCATCCCCTGCCTGAACCCCTTCCCTATCCCTACCCTCTCCCACCTCTCCCTGATCCCCTCCCCGCCCTTCCATCTCCCCCCCTTCCCCGCTTCCCTTCCTTCTGCTTTCCGCCACGTCACGCGCACCATCCTTCCCCCCGCCTGCTCCCACGCCCCTCCCGCCACTGCGTCTGGCACGCGCCCATCCACCGCCACCAGCAGCGGAACTTTCGGAGAACTTTGAAGTGTTTTACTTAGCACAGCAAGCGGTTGCGTGGGGTCAGTGAGCGGAGTGAAAACGGCTCGGTCTAAGTGCCGCTGCCACTGCTGCAAGTGCTGGTCGTGCTGTGAGAGAAGAGACACTACAGAAGGGGAGGAGGGAGAGGAGGAAAGAGGGGAACGAGAGGGGGAAATAGCAGACAACGTATCAGTGAAATCAGCAAAGGCAGTAGAAGCGCTATCTCTACCGCTTTCACTGCCGATGTCACTGCCGCCAACCGCTGAGCTTTCCTCCCTGACCGCAGTCGTCCTCGGGTTACCACCTTCCGTGTTCCGTCCGCGCTCTCTTTCTTTTCCAGATTCTACTTGTCCCGACGTGGATCCGGATGCTCCTGACGTGGACCCCGTTGTTGCTGTGCTGGACCCAGTCGTTCCCGAGCCATATTCTCCTGCTTCGTCGTCTGTTCCTGGCCGAGCAGGACTTGCAACGGCTGTGCTCGCGGACGCTACTTCCGCCGCCGCTCGCCTCCTCCCCTGTCTGGCCTCTTGCCATGCAGCTTTCATTTCACGCAATGATCCAGTCCATTCATGCGCAGGTGACTTTTGAGTCGACTCAAAAGTCGCTCGCCTTCTCCCCTTTCTGGCCTCTTGCCATGCAGCTTTCGTTTCACGCCATGATCCAGTCCATTCATGCGCAGGTGGGGCCCTTTCATCGAGATTTATCGAAACGGCAGTTTCAGGCGATTTTGGCTGCAAAATGGAGGTGGTTTTAAACGGATCGTCACATCGTGCGCATGTCACGGTAACGAAGAGTATTATAGCGAAGGTATGGAGTCCAGATGTGACGATCCGCGTGGTTTCTGCTACGCCACGCTCCGGCATTTGATGGGCGTCAGTCAGACGAGGGCAACTTAGCTTCCGTCCAAAGAACATGGTCTTCTGGTAATAAAACAAGGGAACTCTTAGGCGGAAACGCCATATGGCATCGCGAAGTCATCTGCAGGCGTGAACACTTGGTACGCCCGATCGATGGAACAATGGTTTAGGCGTGATGGGCGTGATCTCTGATCTGCAACCATCCCCACACTAGGCGACGCAAGTTTGGTACAAGAGAAAACAAGTACACCTTGAATATCTCCCCACCAGACAAACATATGTATCTGTTCGATTTTTAGACGTGTTTTTCGGGCTTCATAATGTGATGTTTCGTGTGTTTTGCTACACCTAACCACCGATAAATTATATCGGTCTATTTTCAACCCCACTTGCACACGCTGGTATGCACCCTTTTCAAATCTTTGACCGAGGGTTGTGTGGGGCGTCGTGATTTTACGGAGAGTCTGTTCCAGATCCTCGAAAAGAGTATAATATGCGCTATGGATTTCGCAACAAGAAAACAGCCTTCACACGAGTGGTTGTTGTCCCAGATTCGCTCGATGAGTTTTGGGGTTCGAGAATTAGGCGTCTTTCATAGCCCCGTCATCTACGTGTCTAGCTGAAATAGTAAAAAACGTGCAGGGTAGCCTTGAAACGCGGGACCAGTGCAAGGGGCACCCCTTGAAATTATCGGTGGTTAGGTGCACAGTACCATTGACATGACCTGATTGCTGTCAAAAATCGATATCTCTTCAAGAAATCGACTGCTTTGTCCTCAGCTTGTGCACATCACCTCACAAGCTGAACCACACGAGACCTGATGGGTCAAGTGTTTTCCATGCACCCTAGCCAACCTTCGTAAACCGTGAAGAATCGTGCCAGACCGCAATATAACCTCGATACCTCCGCTTTTTCCGAAGTTCAGTTCAAAACACGTACAGCTCCTCCCACCATCATTCTGCCTGTGGGTTCCCATGCTGGCTGTGCCTGTTCTAGGGATGGAGACAAAAAAACAGCAAAGCAGCTAGTTCTCTGGCTAGCAATTGAACCACGTAATAACGCATCCAAACTTCAAGAATCCATCTACACCATCTTGCGACCCACTTTTATTTCGAGCCTGAGGTGTCCAGGGTGTGCGTTTGGTCTGTCATTAAAATTAGGGAAAGTATGTGCTGGCTACTTGGTTTTCCAGATTCTTTCATATATACCCACACGGTTCACTCAAGCAGTGCGACTCAATGGGATTTCTCTCAAGCGACATCCCACATTATGTTCAAAGTTGGTACTACAGAAAAGTGTTTTCGACACGTGTCCAAATTATTTTCCCCCTTCCCCGCTCGAATTGACAGGGCAGCCCGGAAAAATGTAACCCCTAGAGAACCTGGACGCATTTTCGGGAGGTATCAACCCTAAACACTATAACCCATGGGTGTTTAGGGTTGATGCCTCCCCGAGTTTAGGGTTGATGCCTCCCCGAGTCGCATCCCTTTCCGATTGGGTTTTAAATTTTTGTCCGTGTAAACAATGAGCACGTGTCAAAAACTTTGCCTGGCAGTATGAGTCGTGAACGTAATCTGTGATTCGTTTTGAACGAATTCCCGAAAAGTAGGAGTGTCCGAGTCGAACCCAGGATGAAATGTGAAAAGTTTTCAATAGCCAGGTAGCCAGCACATACTTTCCCTTCAAATTAACAGCTGCAGTTGGTCAAGGGACTGACGGACAGTATACTAGGCAACAATGGCATTGCGGTTGCGAGCGAGTCGAGCTCTAGACTCTTTCGAGTTTCTCGCATATTTTGGAGTCGTTTTTGAGACTTATTGCGTTGCCGAGGTGTAACACTCTCGCATACACACGGATGCACACGGCGCGCACTATTATAGCAAGCCCGCGTGGTGTGTAGTTTGGCGTCGCATTGAATCTACTAGCTCGAGTGAGTGCGGTTACACTCGCTGTTCCGCAGTGCGTTTGAGAATCTTTGGAGTGCGAGAACTCGTTTCCAGATTATTTCTGTCGTTTTGCGTAACATCAGCTGGTAACCACCCAGCGAGAGAATCTTATTTATTCGATCGCAACATTGGTTAGCTCCAGAGCGTATCGCGTGCCGCAGGGGTCCATTCGTAAAAGACCGCAGTGCTTCTTAGGTATGTTCGTCGACAACTCGACTTGACCGTTTGTCGTTCAATAGTAGCAGAATACCTTATTTTCGGAGTTGTGCGTATCCTCTAGCACTCGTCGTGCCGCTACATGTTTCTCGATTTCGTGAAAGCGTTTTTGTTTTTTACGTAAGCGATGGCTGAGCGATAACGTCTGACGTGCTCCACTGACTCATTAGCAACTGGTAACTGTATTTCGGGGTCGTTACTGTCAGTCAACAAAATTTCACAGTCGAAGCCAGCATCATGGTTCTAGGGCGGCGCGCCTTATGGCGCACCCGAGGCGACTCGGCCGGAAGCCTCGACGTTCCGGGAAAGGGGGGTTCGGCCGGCAAAGCAGACGGCGCGGCGGTGGTCGACGACGATCTAGTCATGACGGAGGACTGGGACGGCGCGGCGGCCGGCGCGGCGGGAAAAGCGCAAACCGGCGGGGGAGACGGCCAGGCGGGGGATGGTAAAGCCGGTGGAGACGGCGCCGGCGGCGGAGGCGACGGAGCGGGCGAGACAATGGAGATTATGTTGGAAGACGGGCTGCAGTTAACGGTGGAGGTAGACTCGGGCGAGAAGCTTCTGAACGAGCTGGGGTACAAGCAGGAGCTCAAACGCGCGCTCGGGTTCTTCGAGCTGTTCTCCATCGGCCTGTCTACCATCACTGTGTTTACCGGCATTGTGCCGTACTATGGGTGAGATCAGATTTCCATGGCTTGCCATTCCCCTGGGCTGTTGATCTTCGAGCTCTCCTCCACGGCCTGTCGACCATCACTGTCTTCACCGGCATCGTGCCCTACTGTGGGTGAGGACGATTCCCGCTTAGAAAATGCCCATTCTGACTGTGCGTGCCTCTTCGAGCTGATCTCCATCGGCCTGTCTACTATCAAGGTTTTCACGGGTATCGTGCCGCGCTATGGGTGAGGAGGATTCCCCCGACAGATACAGATACCCGTACCAGGAAATGTCCATCCTCAGGCGTCTCACCGCTCCCCACCCCTCCCCCCCCTTCCGCTCCACCCTTTGATGCCCACCCTTCCTCCCACCCCTTCATTATGCCCGTAACCCCCCTCCTTAAACCCCCTATTCGCCGCTCTATTCCCGACTCCCCCTGCCCATTCTTAGATTCATCCGTCTTCTTCCACCTGACATTTTTTTCCCGACTTAAAAAAGCCCAATTCTTCCTTTCCCCCCGTTTCCCCCGGTTTCGTTACAGTCACGTGTTCGTCAACGGCGGCCCAGGTATTGTCGGATCACCATCTCGGACTCGCTTTAATCACCAGCCCCCTCCTGTCTCCTGTCTGTTCGTGCATCAACCATCCCCGTTATAACCACATCCGTTACAGTCAGGCGTACGTCAACGGGGGCCTAGTGGCCGTGGTGTGGTACTGGTGCGCCTGCCTTCTCCTGTCTTCCGTGACCCGTCTTTTCCCACTACAACCATCCCCGTTATAACCACACTTGTAACTCGTTACAGTCAGGCGTACATCAACGGAGGCCCAGTGGCGGTGGTGTGGTACTGGTGGATCACCGTCTTCTTAACGCACCTCATCGCTCTCTCGCCTCCTGTCCCCTCTCTGCCCCCTCTGCAACTATCCCCCTTATAATCCCACTCGCTACAGTCAGGCGTACATCAACGGAGGCCCAGTGGCGGTGGTGTGGTACTGGTGGATCACCGTCTTCTTCACGCACCTCATCGCTCTCTCCATGGCCGAAATCTCCTCCTCCTTCCCCGTGAGTCCCCCTCTCATCCTTCCCCGTGAGTCCCCCTCTCATCCTTCCCCGTGAGTCCCCCTCTCCTCCTTCCCCGTGAGTCCCCCTCTCCTCCTTCCCCGTGAGTCCCCCTCTCCTTCCCCTCCTCTTCCCTCTTCTCCTGCTCTTGTAAGTGATTGTCCCTCCCTCCCATTTAGTATCTGTCTTCACGCACCTCAATCTCCTCTTTCATTCCCCGTGAGTGCATCTCCTCCTTGTTTCTGTATGTCATTCACTGGCTCTCTGTCTTCGGCTTTCATGAGTGATTCCTCCTCCCTCCTCTCATCGTATGTCTCACAGCCCTCATCTCGTCCCATTCTTCTCTCCCCCCGTCCTTTCCTTTAATCTCGTCTCCTCTCCCCTCCCCTCCACTCCTCGCCTCTCCTCGCCACTTCTCCTCTCCTTCACGTCTTCTTCATTCCTTCACCCAGACGGCAAGAGCTTTACTACTTGCATTGCATTGCAACAATCTGTTCACTAGATGTTAGTTCAACGTCTTGCTGTTCCTGCTTCCCCAGATAATTTCTACCTCTGCTCTGCTCACCTCTCCCCCTTCCATCGCAGGTGGCTGGCACTCTCTTATGTTGGTCGGCAGCAGCATTGCCTGGATGGAACAGAACCGTGCCAAACACGCCCTGCCATTGTCTGGATGGAACAGAACCGTGCCAAACACGCCCTGCCATTGTCTGGATGGAACAGAACCGTGCCAAACACGCCCTGCCAAGGCGAGGCAAGAGAACACTCGTGTCCTCTGTCACTCTTCCCCTCACTTTCTCGTTCAACCCCTCCCGTCCCTCTATCTCAGGTGGCCGGTTCCCTCTACTTCTGGTCGGCAGCGCTGGCCGGGCCGAAGCACGGCCCATTTGCTGCGTGGATCACGGTACTATATGTGGGGCTGCTTTTGAGTCGACTCAAAAGCAGTACTATATGTGGGGCTGCTTTTGAGTCGACTCAAAAGCAGTACTATATATGGGGCTTCGGCCGTTGCTGCTTGAATTGAATGGCGTTGACGGTTTACGTTTGAGCGGGATGAGGGGTTGAGGCTTGATGGTGTGGCGTGCAGGGTTGCAAATTGAGTGGCTTTAGGGGTTGCAGTTGGTATGGGGGTTGCGTTTGAGTGGCGCGCGATGGTACTGGTTACTTTTATGGTTTTAGTAATTCTCAAACATTAACTCAACCCATCCCCACCCACATCTCATCCCAGCCCGTCTGCCCCCGCGCCTCATCCAAACCCCTCTCTCCACATCATCTCATCCCAACCCCACTTTCCCCCCGCCCCTTCTGCAGGGCTGGCTGGAGTTTCTCGGCCTTTCTGTGGGGCTGGGCGGCGTCTCGTACGGCGGGGTGATCATGCTACAGTACACCGTGCTGGTCGCCACAGGTACTGCCATCTGTCTGGGGCTTTGGGTTAGACCAGACCAACATACAGTGGGGCTTTAAATTAAGCGGCGCCTCGTACGGCGGGGTGATCACGTTACAATACACCCTGCTCGCTGCCACAGGCACTTCCATCCCATCCGGCTGCATGCATGCATGGTGTGTACATTATCCTGTCCTATCCCGATGTATCATCCTATCCTATCTTGAGAAGAACCTTGAAGATTGCCGGGTGGAATGAACTGTATGATATATTATCCTATAGTTACTCCACCATGCATATGGACTGGCAAGAGAGCACTAGGAGCATATTGAGGTATATCACCCCACCCCGTTTCGAGGTGAGGTTTGAGTCCCCTCGACAGTTGTTGTATCTCGACAGACAAGAGAGCACAACGAGGCATTCTCCGCTACAGTCGTTTTGAGTCGACTCAAAAGTCACCTCGTTACAAGAGAGCACTATGAAGCATATTCCTCTGTCCGTCTTGAAGCGCCTCAAAGATCGCCCAGCAAAGTCGCTCAGGGACAGACGAGAGAGCATTCGGGAGTGGAGTGGATTCTCATTCTCCCGTATCCTTCTGCACCTATCTTTCTCGGAGCCATGAGAGGACAGTCAAATGGCAGGGCTACCTGTTAACCAACAGCCAGCCAGCCTTAGCCATCACAGCTGGTGCCAGTGTTCTCAGCTTCGCCCACTGTGTTCTCAGCTTCGCCTTCCCCTCTGCCTTGCTCCTCCTCCTCGTCCCACTCCCCCACCCGTCCCTCTCCCTCTCCCTCTCCCTCTCCCTCTCCCTCTCCCTCTCCCTCTCCCTCTCCCTCTCCCTCTCGGCCTCCCTCTCCTCACGCTCTCTCCATCCTCTTCTCTCTATCACCAGGAGGGACCAACGGCGGGGGCTACCTGCTGAACAACTACGAGTCGTTTGCCATCACAGTGGGCGCCATCACAGTGGGTGCCATTCTCCTCTCACGCGCCTCCTTCTCCTCCCCTTCCACTCTCTCCCCCTCCCTCCTTCCCATCACCAGGAGGGGCGAATGGGGGAGGCTACCTGCTGAACAACTACGAGTCGTTTGCCATCACAGTGGGCGCCATTCTCCTCTGCGGCATTCTCAACTCCTTCTCCATCAAATTCATTGGCCGCCTTGCCGTCGTCAGTGCCGTCTATCAGGTAATCTGCCTGTCTCTACTGTGGCAGCAATGCTTTGTAAGTAGCTCCCCGAAACCCTCCCCTGCTCTATGCATGCCTCCCGCCCGCCCGCCCGCTCACAAACACTCCGACTCCTCAACTCAACTTCTTCCCCATCAAGTTCATCGGCCGTCTGGCCGTGATGAGCGCTGTTTGTCAGGTCAGCCTCCCTTCCCACTTGCGCGCACTCCCCTGCTCGCCCCCCTCCCACACTTCCCTCTCCTCCTCTCAACTCCTCAATTAAGTTCATCGGCCGTGTGGCCGTGATAGAGCGTTGATTACCAGGTGGGTTGCCATCACTTTAGCAGCATCCCCTTCACTGTAGCCGCTCAGCAGCACCACTCCTCCTCCCCCCCTTCCCCCCCCCCCCCCTCTACTCACGTGCTCTCCTCTGCGGCATCCTCAACTCCTTCTCAATCAAGTTCATCGGTCGTGTGGCCGTAATCAGCAGTGCTGTTCATCAGGTCAGGTCAGGTAGACTTATAAGTTTCTCTCTATGTTTCTCTCCCATGCTCCACCCCCAGATGGGACTCGCCTTTGTCACCACACCATGATTCTGCTGCCCTTGAAAACCGCCGCTCACCGCATTCCCCTGCTTCCACCCTCCCCTCTCCCACTTACCACTCTCCCCTCCCCAAATGGGAATCGCCATAGTCTCCAGGATTCTGCTGCACCTCAGTAGCTCTAGCACCTGTGCGCCAGTCATCCCATCCTCTCTTGCATCATTCTCCATCCTCCTTCCCTCCCGGGCTCATGCTACTCTCCCCCACTTACTCCCCAGACGGGTTTCCCCTTCCACATGGGTTTCCCCTTTGAGCAGCTGATTCTGCTCCCCTAGCTACTGCCAGTCATCCCATCCCATTCCCCTGCTGCTGCCAAGCCAACCTCCCTCTACCCGTGTTCCCACCCTTTCTTCTGCCCTTAACCACTCCCTTCGTCCCCAGATGGGTCTCGCCATAGTCATCATGATTCTGCTGCCGTCGGTAGCGCCAGTGCACCAGAGTGCCTCCTTCGTCTTCACTCACCACCACGTGCAGCTGGACGTGTCTCTGCTGCCCACTATGGTGAGTACCCATCTCCACCACTCTGCACCACTGTACACCGCTCTGCACCGTTGAATAAATTACCTATGTGCGCCAGGCGCCAGCCTTGGTCTTCACCCAGAACACGTGCAGCCGGACGTGTCTTTGCTGGCCACTGTGGTGAGTACCGCACTGCAATGCCAGTGCACTGCCACTGCGCCCCCACTGCACCACCCTACAACACTCTACACCTCTCTGCACTATTCTGCACCGCTCAATCTATGGCCTGTGTGCGTGCGCTATACGCCAGCTTTCATCTCCACTCACTACAAGTTGCAGCTGGATGTGTCATTGCCGCACGCTTTGCACCACTCTGCACCACTGAATCTCTTCGTCTAAACCCAGCATGACAGGCCCTGGACTGATGTTGCTCAAAGTGTCACACAAGTGCGTGCCCCTCCTCTGGCTTGTGATGCCAATGCCTGCCGCCCTCCCCATCCCCACCTCCCAGGCAAGTTTCGAGGCGCCTCAAAAACGCCTCTCACCTGCGTGCCCCTCCTCTCACTTTGATACCATTTGCTGCACATCCCCCTTCCAATCCCCCCCCGGGCCTACGCCTTCATAGCAGCCATGCAGCTGTCCTAGTACTCCCTCTATGCATAGGACACCGCCGCCCACATAGCAGAAGAAATCAAGAGCTCTAACCACACGTTCCCTGCCAGCCAGCATGGCAGAGACACGCACCCGCCACCACCCACATGCAACTTCATCTATTCCCTCTCTCACCTTCCCTCCCTTCCCCTCTGGACCCTGCCCAGGCGTACGCCTTCATAGCAGCGATGCAGCTATCCCAGTACTCCCTCTACGCATACGACACAGTGGCCCACATGGCAGAGGAGACCAAGCGCTCCGATCGCGCGTCCCCAGCCAGCATGGTGCTCTGCCTGTCCGCGGTCAGCCTGCTCGCGTGGGGGCTGCTCGTCGCCTTCACCTTCTGCATTCAGAACGACGAGAATCTCACCAGCCCGGACAGCGTTACGGCCGGCCAGCAGATCCTGGTTACCATCATCTGGGAGGCGTTTTTCGCTCGGTAAGTGGTTCGGTGGGCAGCTCGGTAGGTGCCTCGGTAAGTGGCTCGGTGGGCAGCTCGGTAGGTGCCTCGGTAAGTGGCTCGGTGGGCAGCTCGGTAGGTGCCTCGGTAAGTGGCTCGGTGGGCAGCTCGGTAGGTGCCTCGGTAAGTGGCTCGCCCGGGGGCTGCTCGTGGCCTTCACTTTTAGCATTCAGGACGAAGAGAATCCCACCAGTACGGGTAGCGTTACGGGCGGCCAGCAGATCCAATCGTACTGACTATCATCTGGGAGGCCTTTGTGGCTCGGTAAGTGGCCGGGGAAGTGGTTTGGCTGCTGCTCGCGTGCAAGCAACCTGCCGTGGACTTCACCAAGGGTACTTGGGTGTTCAGAGCGGTGGCAATCTCACCAGCAGTTACAGCATGACGGGCTGGCAGCAGGTCCTGGCTACCATCATACGGGAGGCCTTCGCGGCGTGGTGGGTGTCTCGAGAACTGCCTCCATAAGAGGTTCGGGAGTTGCTTAGTGATTGGCTTGGTATATGGCTTCCCCTTCCCCCTTCCCCCTTCCCCCTTCCCCCTATGTGTTGTCATATCCCACCTTTCCTGTGTTCACTCATATCCTCCTCATTCTCACCTCATCAACCACGCCCACCCCATCCTCCCCCCCCTCCCCGCACCGTCTTGGCAACGACACAGGGGGGGTGGTCGTCGTGCTGTCGCTCATCCACGCTCATCCACGCTCATCGTCTTTTGAGGCGCCTCAAAAGTCGTGCTGTCGCTCATCCACGTCGCTTTCCTCTTCCAAACCCCCGTGTTCACCTCTCTTTCCCCTTATCACCCTAACCCCTTTCCCACCACACTTTTGACAGCTGCGCAGGGGTTATGTTCCCCACCAGCTGGGCAGTGGCAGTGCTCTCACTCATCTGCATTGCCTTCCTCTTCCTCCCTACTGTCCTCTGCTTGCCCCACTCCCCCCCCCACATGCCCCCCTCCCCCCACAGGTTTGGCAGCGGCACAGGGGCGGTGGTGGTGCTCTCACTCATCTACATCGCCTTCCTCTTTGGCGTCTTCGCCGGCATTCTTGGCGCCTCCCGCGCGGTCAGTCACTGTTCCCTCCGCCCTCTGCTTGCACAGCCCGAGTTGCTTTTGAGAATTCTCAAATCTGAATTCAGCAAGGCCTTCTTGGCTTGGAGCCCTCGGAGCGGTCAGTCAGTCACTCCCATCCGTCCATGTGTTTGCCTTGCTCACCCGCCCCTGCCTGTGCTTGCTCACCCGCCCCTGCATGTGCTTGCTCACCCGCCCCTGCCTGTGCTTGCTCACCCGCCCCTGCCTGTGCTTGCTCACCCGCCCCTGCCTGTGCTTGCTCACCCGCCCCTGCCTGTGCTTGCTCACCCGCCCCTGCCTGTGCTTGCTCACCCGCCCCTGCCTGTGCTTGCTCACCCGCCCCTGCCTGTGCTTGCTCCTTCATCCTTCTCACCCATCCTCTTCTCCCTGCCCCTCCTCGAGGACTCTGCCCTCTTCCTCCTCACTAATCCCCTGGCTACTCCCCTTTACACATTCCCTCCTTTCCCCCACCTTCTCCTCCTCCCCTCCCCCCCTCCGCTCCGCCCTGCACCCCCTGCACCCCAACCCCCCAGGCCTACGCCATATCGCGAGACAAGGGCCTGCCCTTCGCGTTCATCTGGCGGCGGGTGAACCGAGACAAGACGCCCATCTACTCCGTGTGGCTCTGCTGTGGCGTGGGCTGTATCCCTGCCTGCCTCTCCTCAAAAACTCCTTCCTCTTCCTCCTCCCCGGTCCCTTGGCGATTCCCCTCCACTCAATCCCTCCGTTCCCCCACCTTCTCCTCCCTTCCTCCCCTCCTCCCCACACCCTCTCACTTTCCCTGTGCCCCACTACCAGGCCTACGCCATATCGCGGGACAAGGGCCTGCCCTTCGCGTTCATCTGGCGGCGGGTGAACCGAGACAAGACGCCCATCTACTCCGTGTGGCTGTGCTGTGGAGTCGCCATCCTCTTCTCCCTGCCGCTCCTCAAGGACTCTTTCCTCTTCTCAGCCATCACCTCCCTCGCCACCGTCGCCTGGGTGGGCGGCTATGCTGTGCCCATCTTCTGCCGCTTGATTCAAAGGGAGGAGGATTTCGAGCCGGGCCCGTTCTACCTCTCCAAATACGTCGGCGTCTGGGGCAGGTGAGGGTGCCTTGCTGCGCAGTAGAGCCTTGACTGTGTGTGGTGCGTTGTGGTGGTATGGTGTGGTGTGGAGGTGAGGCTCATTTGAAGTATGCTGGTGCGTCGGGCAGGTGAGGCAGAAAGCACAGCATGGCATGTCATGGCTTGGTTTGGTGCAGCAGTGCTCACTCTCTCAGTTGCTTTGCTCCTGGTGCGATGCGGGTATCTTTTGACATGTCTCGAAAGTCGTATGTAAACTTCATGTGGGTTTCTTGAGACCTCTCAAGACTTGCCTTGCCTTGCTGCAATGCTCTGACTGGGTCTGTGCGATCGTGGTACGAGTGTGTGTATGGGGCATAAGAGTTGATCTCTGTCTTTTTCTCTAACCCTTGCAGACGGCACTGCTCATTCACGCCTCCTCCCTAAACCCTGCTCTCTCTCCTCTTCTCTAACCCTTGCAGAAGGCACTACGCATTCACCTCCACCCCTCCTCTCTGCTCTCTTTCTCTCACTCACCCTCTGCCCCTTGGAGTGCAGGAAACTGATCAACATTGGAGCCATTCTCTTTGTCCTCGAAACAGTCAGCATCTTTATGCTCCCAATGGTATTCCCAATCACCGCAAGCAACTTCAACTACGCGTGTGTCGGAATCTTCGTGGTAGTTTCCTTCTTCCTCGTCTGGTGGTTTGTCGACGCACGCCATTGGTTTGTCGGACCGTTTCTGGATAAGACGGCCACCAACAACCAATCAAAATACGCCGCGGGGAGATGGTTCATGTAGCTCTCGAAGGGAGATGGTTCATATAGGGTCCACGAAAGGAAGTATTTTCCATGTGGCCTTGTATGGAGTTCAATACTCGTTGGAGTTTTCTGGACAAGTCGATCGCCAACAACCATCGAAATACGCTGCCGGGAGATGGTTCATGCAAAGCAGGAGGCTGTAGCGTTGACCTGTTCAAAGTCTTGAGATTCAAAAGTTGCCTCGCAGGGAGATGGTTCATTTCATGTACCGGTAGTAGATCTGAAGGCAGGAGGGGAGATGCGTCATATAGCTCTATGGATTTCAGTGGAGCTTACGGTCTTCTAATCTACGCCACGCCTTGTACTGTACTTGGCTAGATATCCTGTTGTGTTTGGATAGTGAATCAACAGGTCAATTATTGTGGAGTTTTCCACTCATTCAGTATAAGCGGCTCAAAAGTGCGGACGCGATTAAAAAAAAAATCACTTGTGTTTTAGGACTTGTTTGAGGTTCATCGAGATTGAAGTATGTATCCGTCTGATTTTCCAGTTATGTACGTCTGGCTCTAAAAACAAGTTGAATCAGTTCGTCGGAAAGAGGACACTGTTCAGGTGAGTCTTTCCCCTTGTCCGCCGCAACTTCCGTTCCGTACCAAACCGTACCGGCCATTATCTTTGATACTCAGATTTTGCCTGAGCTCGTTCTCAGGTGTAGTCACCAACGTTTCTCGATATAGTATGAAGCTATTCTGTTTCGTGTTAGTTACAGTTACTCAAAAAAAGGAATTCAAGCACCTGCAAAAAAAAATATAATGCCCGTAGCGAACCTATATGATCTCCGGGAAGGATCAGCCCTAAATACCGAAAGCCTCCCAATATTTTGGAAAACATATTGCAACCCACTTGACAAAAAAAAAAAAAAAAAACCCACCTCGGAAAGGGATGCGACTCGGGAGGCATCAACCCTAAACACGCATTTCCGTGTTTAGGGTTGACCCCTCTCGAAAATGCATCCAGGTTCCCTAGGGGTTTTATTTTTTTCTGCCATGCCCGAATAGGTCTCGGTAGCGTCGTCCAGTGCTTTCGCTCGCGTTGTTTAGAGGTCGGTTGCGCTACTGAGCACTACCAAGTGAATTATATGGGCTTCATTCTCTTACTACCTTAATTTCCATACATATATCCAAGTCGGGAGGGTAAACTGGATGGTTTTGTTTTTGTCACTTCCTAATGAGTTCGACCAGCGTGAGAAATGTGACTAAAAAGCGACGACCAATCAACGTTGAGAAACTCCAGGTTGATTACACCTGAGAACGCGCTCAGGCAAAATCTGAGTATCGGAGATAATGGCTGAAACCGTACAGACCAAACACCGTCCGCTTCGTTGACACGAAGGTGGTGTCCGTCGATGTCGGTGGTCGAGCATATGTGCTGTGCTGCGCTATCCACGTGGAACGAGTGGGATAGCACGTGGGAGCGGCCCTTACCCAACAATCGAGATTGACAACCGTCAACACATCCATCCAAACCGAACTTCGCCGACATGAAAAGTTCATTCGACTGCCAGCGCTGAGCTGCAGTTGGGTTTTGGATAAGGGCAGGCAAAAAGTTTTTGTTCGGGGGTCATTTGACATGGTTTAATACGGTCAATTACATTCAGTCACGGTTCGTTTGGGCCATTGCGCACCAAGATTGTTCATTCATATTTGAACCGAACAAAAGTATGACCCGCTTCACTCTGCTTTGAGTTACACTTCAGATTAATCGTCAGTAGATTAGATGGCGTTTGTCTGCTCTGGTCCGGGGAACGAAGCGCGGTTCGACGGTTACACTTGTTTCTTACCTGACAACGAATGTTGTACTGACTGTGGCCACGCCACGAGTCCCATCGTGCGATCAAATCTCACGGCTAAACAGCGATGCGAGCGAACGTCCAGAGGGAATGCCATCTTAGGCGGTTAGTAGTGCGACTCTGCGACATTAGGCTGTTCCTTCCTTACAATGCAACTCAACTGAGAATACAGTCCTTTTTGCCAGGCCCCATGAACTCCGCGGGGCGTTACAGTGACATCGACCTGTTACGGTAAAAGGGAAACCTATCCACTTGCCACGTTTATTACCTTGTTTGAAGATTTAGGATTGTACGCTTTCGTGTTTGGAGTTTCGAACACAGCCGTGTAATAGCATCAGTCCCGCAATGAATAGTAGACGGCCCGCCATCGTTAGTTCCGCGCATTTTCTCTGCCGATCGCCTTGCGCCGTTGCGCGGAATTTCCGTGCTCTTGCGCTGCTCGCGCTGCTCGTCGCCGCCGCCTGCCCCCACGCGGCATCTGCTGGCTCCGCGCAGGGTGGAAATCGCACAGCCTGGTTGCGCGGCGGGCGGGTGCTGCTGCGGCAGATAGCGCAATCGCAGCCTCAACAGGCACGGCACTTCCCCCTTGCCCCGGGCGTGTTGCCGCAAGTTGCACCCCCTTGCCCCCTGCCACTTGCGCCGCTTGCCCCTTGATGCTTGCGCCCTTGCTCATTTCCCCCATGCCCCTTGCGCCGCTTGCCCCTTGCGCCGCTTGCCCCTTGCTCCTTGTTCTTTGTCGCTTGCCCATTGCCGCTTGCCCTCTTGCCGCTTTGCCCGTCCCCTTGCCGCTTTGCCCGTCCCCTTGCCCCTTGCCCTACCCTTGCCCCTTGTCCCCTGCCCTTTCTTGAGCCCCTTGCCCCCCCTTGCCCTGGGCCCCTCGCGCCTTCGCCTCTTGCCCACCCAACGAGGCAGCCAATCGAGGCAAGGCCTCCCCTGCACGGGCAATGGAAGTCTCGACCTCCGCTTCCCTGCGCCACTACCCATGCCTTTGCGCCATGCCCCGTGAGGCCTTTCCGCCCTGCCCTCCGCTCCCCTCCACCCCCCGCGCATGCAGGTGCACGTATCGCTGGCGGGCGGCGGCCGAGTGCTGGTGTGGTGGGCGACAGCTGGCAACACACCAGCTACTGCCCCATGCCTTTGCGCCATGCCCTTGCCTCTCCCCTGCCCCCCCCTCTCCTCCCCCTTTTCCCCCCCCCCCACCACCATCCCCACCCCCCCCACCCCGCCCTCCCCTCCCCGCCTCCCATGCAGGTGCACGTGTCACTGGCGGGGGGCGGGCGGGTGCTGGTGTGGTGGGTAACGAGTGGCAGCACGCCCGCCAGTGTGGAGTATGGGGAGAGCCGCGGCAAGTACACCAAAACGGCTTCCGGGAGTGTGACTCGTTATACGCTTAATGGATACACGTACGAGTTATTCGTTCCCTGTATCTCTCCACTTCACCTTTTTAGCTCCTCTCTCAATTTCGTTTCCTCTCTTCCGTCCCTCCTCTCCCTGCATGCTCCAATGCCCCTGACTGCGTCCTCTTTCTGCCACATTCTCCATGCCATCTTGCCACGTTACCCATGCCCTGTTCCCACCCTGCCCCATCGCCACGTCATCATCCCTGCCCTGCCGCCCGCAAGCAGGTCGGGGTACATCCACAAGGTGCTGCTGGGGCGCGCTTTGAAGAGGTCATGTTAAAGCGAGGTGATTCCTTCCTGAGTCGACTCAAAAGTCACGCCATCCCTCCTTGCCTTGCCCTGCCCTGCCGCCCGCAACCAGGTCGGGGTACATTCACAAGGTGCTGCTGGAACGGCCCAGGAAGGACGGCGTCTTAAAGCCCGCCACCACCTACTACTACCGCCTGGGAGGCGCGGGGCCTGCGAGGGCCTTCAAGACGCCGCCGCCATCGTCCCAACCCATCAGCGTGGCGCTCGTGGGTGGGTCAAACCTCTTGTGTTTGGCTGGCCGTACCGGTTGTGTTGTGTTGTGTCTGTGGCTTGGGACAGGGTGGGCTGCGCTGCTTTGTGTGTGGCTGTGTTGTGGTTTGGGGACAGGGGATGTGGGTGGGCGAAGTGGGAGGGGCTACGCCTGAAGGCTTATCGCCCTTCTCCGCCTTCTACCCCTTCTACCCCTTTCCCCTCTTCTCCCCCTTCTACCCCACTGGCCTCTATCGTCTCCCCTCCTTTCCTTCCCACCCATGCACGCTGGCCGCCTTGAACACAGCAGCAGCAGCCGCCACCATCGCTCGCCTCTCGTGCTCGCCCGCCTTCTCCCCCTTCTCCGCCTTCTCCCCCTTCTCCGCCTTCTCCCCCTTCTCCGCCTTCTCCCCCTTCTCCGCCTTCTCCCCCTTCTCCGCCTTCTACCCCTTCTCCGCCTTCTCCCCCTTCTCCGCCTTCTCCCCCTTCTCCCCCTTCTCCGCCTTCTCCCCCTTCTCCCCCTTCTCCGCCTTCTACCCCTTCTCCCCCTTCTCCGCCTTCTCCTACTTCTACCCGTTGGTCCCTATCGTCTCCCCTCCTTTCCTTCCCACCCATGCACGCTGCGGGCCGCCTTGAACACAGCAGCAGCAGCAGCCGCCGCTATCATCACTCGCCTCTCGTGCCACCCCTCTCTTTCTCCCTCAGCACACGAAAATCTCTCTATAACCCTCCCTCCTTCCCCCAACCCCACCTCCCTCTCCTCCCCCATCCCCGTTACCACACCCCCCCACCTTCCCCCCCACCAGCCGACATGGGTTCTGCGCCACCAGCAGCCGCCACCATCTCGCGCCTCTCCCGCACGCCCCACGCCCTCGTGGTCTTCCCAGGGGACCTCTCCTACGCCAACGGCTACCAACCAGATTGGGACACGTGGCAGTCCCTCATCCAGCCTGCCTCATCTCTCCGCCCCTGGATGATGGCCCCGGGGAACCATGAGGACGAGGCGGGCGAGGGCGCGCCGAGCTCGAACCCCTTCAAGGCGTACAACGCTCGCTGGCCCATGCCGGCCGCTGCCAGTGGGTCGCCCTCGAACCTCTTCTACTCGTTTGACAGCGGCAGCATTCACTGGGTCGTGCTCTCCTGCTACTCCGACTACTCCCAGGGATCCGCTCAGTACAACTGGCTGCAGGTGTGCTGCCAGGCCCTGCATGTTTATCCCTCTGTGCTCTCCTTCTCTGCTCTCCCTCTCTGCTCTCCCTCTATGCTGTCCCTCTGTGTGTGCTGTTGATGCTGCTAGTAGGTCGCACTCAAACCTCTTTTTCTCGTTTGAATTCCCCCCTTCTCCCCAACCCCAAAACCCCTTTCCTCCCCTCCCGCACACCGCCTGCAGGCAGACCTAGCCAAGGTGGATCGCAAGGTGACGCCGTGGCTGATAGCGGCGTTCCACGAGCCGTGGTATCACAGCAACAAGGACCACCAGAAGAGCGGCGAGGACATGCGCCTGGCGCTTGAGAAGCTGCTGTACGGCGCGCACACGGACGTGGTGGTGTGCGGCCACGTGCATGCTTACGAGAGGACGGTGAGTTGAACGCAGATGCTGTACGAGTTGAGTTGAATGGTGTGTGCAGTGTGGTGGGAGGACATGCGCCTGGCGCTCGAGAAGATGCTGTATGATGCGCGCACGGATGTGGTGGTGTGCGTGCGGGCACGTTCACGCTTATGAGCGCATGGTGAGTTGGAGAGCTTATGAGCACATGGTGGTTTGGAGAGCTTATGAGCACATGGTGGTTTGGAGAGCTTATGAGCACATGGTGGTTTGGAGAGCTTATGAGCACATGGTGGTTTGGAGAGCTTATGAGCACATGGTGGTTTGGAGAGCTTATGAGCACATGGTGGTTTGGAGAGCTTATGAGCACATGGTGGTTTGGAGAGCTTATGAGCACATGGTGGTTTGGAGAGCTTATGAGCACATGGTGGTTTGGAGAGCTTATGAGCACATGGTGGTTTGGAGAGCTTATGAGCACATGGTGGTTTGGAGAGCTTATGAGCACATGGTGGTTTGGAGAGCTTATGAGCACATGGTGGTTTGGAGAGCTTATGAGCACATGGTGGTTTGGAGAGCTTATGAGCACATGGTGGTTTGGAGAGCTTATGAGCACATGGTGAGTTGGAGAATCGGGGGAGGGGAGAGGTGGGGGAGGGATTGACATGGTAGTAGGCTTATGCATGCACGCACGTGCATGCGCAGTGCATGGAGAGTGTCCGAGGCTACGGGTGGGCTTTGCATGCTCATGGTCATGTGTGGTGTATGATGAGAGGTGATGCTCTTGTGCTGCCAGGGCGCTGGAGCAGATTCTGTGTGCCATGAAAGATCATTTGCACTTGTCACTAAGGACAGCGAGCGTCACATGAAGGATGGTGCATGTGGCATCGTGCATGGGGGCATGCATGGTGATTGCATAAAGCATTTCAGGCCGGCCCATGCCATCCTCTGGGATGCATGGCATGCCACCCCAACTCACTGTTCCCCATCCGTATATTCAGCTCCTTGCCTCCCCATCTTCTCTCTCCCCATCTTCTCTCTCCCCATCTTCTCTCTCCCCATCTTCTCTCTCCCCGTCTTCTGCATTCCCTTGCCCTCTCATCCCTCTTGTCACCACTCCCCTCTCCTTGTCCGCTCATATCCCCTTCCCACTCTCTCTTCAACCTGTGCATGCCATGCTGCATCTCACTGCTGATGTCGGTGTGTACGCTCCTCGAATTTGAATATCAGTGTGTATTCTGTCGTTGCATGCATCTTCCCAACATCATGTGCATGCATCTCCCAACTATCCCATGCATGCATCCCCCACCATCACGTTCCCCCAGCTGCCTCTCTACAACAACGCCCAGGACCCCTGCGGCATGGTGCACCTCACTGTCGGCAGCGGTGGGGCCGACCTTTACACAAGGTAACTCGTTCTAAGTGCAGATGCGTTGATAGAAACATACTCACATGCACACGCGCGAGCGCGCATGCTCACACGCAGACGCACGCTCATGCTCACACACACACGCACGCACACACACAAGCGACTCGTTTTAAGCCATCCTTATAATTTTGATAGTCATGGCATAAGGCACCGCCACACTGTATTTTGCTTCATGCCAACCAAATTCCCACAGGCTTCTCGTTTCCTCTTCATCCTCCTTCACTCCTTGTCAATCAAATGCAACCCCACTACCTTGACTTCCTGGTCGAAATGCCCTTTCTCGTCACCTCTTCTCCTTCCCCTGCTCGCACTGACAAAACCCCCCTCCCTAACTAGTCTTTCCTCTTCTTTCAATTGCCCTTTTCGTCTCTTCTTCCTCGTTCTCCCTTGCACCTCTTTTAAAAGTAATTTCTTCAAATTAGCCCGACCCCTCCTTGTTGTCGTTCCTCAAATCGTCTCACTTTCTTTCCCTTGTCCACCTTTCATTCCCACTCCAATCCTCCCACCCCCACTCCTCCTCCCCCTCCCCAGCCTTCTCCCGGGGTTGAAAATCCTCCCTCTTCCAACTTCCCCCCCTCCCCCTCAACACGCAGTTTCCTCTCCCCCAAGCCTGCGTGGTCACCTCTTTCTCCCGGTGTTATATAACCTATCCCCACCTCTCCTACCTTCCCCCTCAACGCGCAGTTTCCTCTCCCCCAAGCCTGTGTGGTCGGCCTTCCGGCAGGCAGCGTATGGGTTTGGGGTGCTGTCAGTGGGAGGGGGCGCCAGCAAGGGCGAGGCGGTGTGGAGGTGGAGGAGGAACAGCGATGCAGCGGGGGTGGTGGCAGATGAGGCGAGCATCATATCGCATGCCAGCAGCAAGGCTCCTGCGCAGTGCCGGGTGTGACTGATGCAAGAGCCACACAGGATGTGGCAGCAGGGGTGGGGCAGAGTGGAGGTGAAGGGAGATGGAGGGAGGTGGCGCGAGGTGGAGGAGGAACAGCGAGGCAGTGGGGGTGGTGACATATGAGGGGAACCTGATATCGCATGCCAGAAGCAATGCTCCTGCGCAGTGCCGGGTGACCCTCTCCTCCATGTGCCGGGTGTGACCCTCCATGTGCCGGGTGTGACTGATGTGAGAGCCGCACAGGGTGGGTGTGGCAGAAGCACAGGTGGGGCAAAAGTGGAGGTGGAGGAGGTGGAGTAATGTGATGTGATGTGATGTGAACGTCCAGGCAAGGCAAGGGACTGGCAGTCCGGCACATGTAGTGTAGAGTAGGGTATAGGTGCTAGTGTTTGCTGTTGAGAGGCCACTGGTGGAACAACGTTGTTGCTGGTCCTGTTTGTCATGTCTTAATGCTGCCAAAAGTCTGGAGCCCATGGGTTGAGTGAGGGAGTAGCCACCACCTGAGTGAGGCTGGCTGCTGTTAGCAAACACTAAGTGCCATCACATCTTTATAGAGCGAACCAGATTTGTGAAACACCTTTGCCATCTTGCACAACTGTAACTGACGCGGCTCAAAACCATCGGCGAAATCCACGCACTTCCGTCCGTGTGTACTCCATCAACACGCCTGGTTTTCCCTTCACTTCGCAGGCATTGGCATGCAGTTTCAGAGTACCAAGCGTTTTGAACTTGAGGACTCTTTTGAAAGAGTAGAGTTGAAGGTTCTGTGTGTAGCAGCATGGTGCACTAACGGTACTTGTGTGGGGTGGGTACAGCATGGTTACGGTACAGGTACCCGTCATCACCCAGGCATACCACCTGCCGAACATCCCCGGGTGGCTTGTGTGGGGTGGGTGCTTTATTTCGACTCATTTTCGTTATACCGTAATCCCCCGTATATAAGACCCTAGGGTATTCTGATAATCACCCCTAAAAAGGCTGGGGGGTATAATTAAATGGTATATTTTTTAGAGGACCCGGGTCTGTTCACATTGACATTTATAAGAATGCACGATGTTGTACATTTCAGTCTCGTAAGTTCAATCGAATCGAACTTTTACAGCGTCCTGAATCAGAATCGCGCGAGGGCGTTTCCCTGACTGTGCACAGAGATTTGGCACGTCACTTTGCCCGCGTGCCAGCTCATCCTGACTGGACGCGCAACAAGTGAAGCCTTCGAAAGTCAAACACATTGAAAATGGGTGTTGACTCATTTGAAATTCGAAATTCGTTACCATTTTCAATTGCATTTTTTTGTAAAATCCACACTTCTCTAGTATTTGGGGGGTCTTATAATGTTATGAGCCATTTAGGGGGTATAACTCAGATGTACTCGAATAGAGTACCCGGGTCCGTATTATAGACCCGGGGGTCTACAACTGGGGGGGGTCCTATATACGGGGGATTACGGTAACATCCCCCTTCGAGGTGAATCCTTATAGCACCTCTCTGTTCTTGTACATTGTGCTGTTACTGTACATAAGGGTACATTCCAGTGTGGACACAAATGTCTCAATCCCCCTTTTCCCGAGTCGCGCCTGTAAGTTTGCAAATTTGCGCGTCACAAACAGCTGATGTATCGCGACATTGTGAGACAGAATACCAAATACACATAATCGAATTTGATTGGCTCGCCCCATTGGGCCCGTGTCTGGGATGTTTGGCGCCGGGTGTTATAGTCACAATAGGCTTGAATGTGCCTAAAACGAAAGATAGAGAGCACAGACGGATTTCTGCACAGCGGCTTCAAACGTTGATAGCGTTCTGCTCACAGCTGCAAATGACTTGATTCAAATTGGATCTGGAGCGTCTTCACGTTGTCTACAATTAGCAATTTAGATTGCACGATTTGATGAAGAATTGACGACACAGCGTCGGTTTGAACGAACGGTACTATGGCAGCCACTATAGTCTTAGAACACAAGATAGGAAGAGTTACGAGTTGGGAATGACTCCCAGCTCCTACAAACCCCAAGAGCCGATGTACAGTGATGTGGAACAGTGCCACACTGTCCCCAACCACGAAGGGTCTCGAAACTACCCTTCACTAGGGCCTACACCAAGTGAAATGTTACACTACACAAAGTAATGTAACTATCTTCAATATCTTGAGGTGTACCCTTTTGGCGAGCTTCGAAATCACTTGAGGCTTGACACCAAGGCTCGGGCTCTTCATCACAAACTCATCCTTGAGTTCTTGATGGGTCTGCTGCACACACCTGCGACACGCCGAACGTTCGACACAGGACAAAATAGAAACCGCGCACGACAAAATAGAAACCGCGCGCGAGACACAAACGACCGCGTAACACGCGTCTAGCGATAACTCGCTATTGACTCGACACACACACTCGACATCATGACTCAACATTCACACACAATTATAAGCATGAAATATATATTATCCCATGCCCTCATACCATTCCATACACACACACATTCACGCACACGGACAACAAGCCGAGTGCAAACCGTAGGGTTGCACCAACAAACTCCCCCTCGGATTGTTGGCCTTAGGATATGTTGCTCTCTCAGTTCAGAGCCATCCCAGCCAGCTTGCAACACTTCCAATGCTGCTGCTCCACCAGCCTCTTGGTCATCATGTCAGCCGGCTGCCCCGTGGTCTTCACGTAGCGCAACTCAACTTCACCTGCGGTTACCATGCTCCTCGTCCAATGCCAGTTCACCCTCATGTGCTTCGTGAGTCCATGCAACACAGGGTTCTTAGCAAGAGCAATGGCACCCTGGCTGTCACAGTACAGTGGGGTAGGTCCTTGCTGCTCCTCCCCCAATTCAGCCAACAAACGCCGCTGCCACACAATCTCCCGTACGGCACGGAAGAGTGCCATGTACTCGGACTCCACCGAGCTCAAAGCTTGGTCAACCTGCTTCTTGCTCTCCCAAGCAGTTGGGCCTCCACCAACACAGCATATGAAGCCTCCCACACTTGTCATGTCCTCTGGTTCTGATGCATATGAAGCATCCGAGTAGGCGGTGAGGAACAAACGCCCGGGTTCAACACCATCCGCGCCCTTTTGGCGCCTTTGTGCTGCCGCCGAGTATTGCAGCCCAACGGTCGGTGTTTGGCCAAGATACTTGGCCACCCTCATTCCAGCTGCTACCTGCTCCTCATTAGGGCATTGCACAACCCTAGCCAGCTGCCCGGTAGCGAACGCGACGTCCGGTCGGGTGTTTACCGCCGCATACATGAGGCTGCCCACCAACGAGTGAAATCGGCGCCTCTCCTCTTCACCAACGCTCTCCTCCTCTGGTCCCTTCACACACTTGAACCCAGAGGGAAAGGGTGTAGCCACATGGCCTTCACTCTGCCCAAAGTTGGCAGCCAATGCCTCCAGGTACTTTCGTTGATGCACCCGCATGCACCGCTTCTCCACATCTCGTTCGATGTGGAGCCCAAGGTAGAAGCTCACGTCACCAAGGGCCTTGCACTTGAACTTGTCTTGAAGCTTCAGCATCACCTCCTTCACAAGGTCAGAAGAGGGTGAGAAAATGAGGATGTCATCCACATAAACCACCATGAAACTCCTCTGCTCCCCCTCGCCAAGCATGAACAAGGAGTGATCGGCCGTTGAGGGAGTGAAGCCGATCCCCTCCAACACTTCGCGCAGCTTCATGTACCATTGCCTAGGGGCCTGCTTCAGCCCATAGAGGGCCTTCTTCAGCTTCCACACTCTGCCACTACCATCATCAAACCCCTCTGGCTGCGCCATAAAAATCTCCTCCTCAAGGATGCCGTTAAGGAATGCCGTTACGATGTCCATTTGCTTTACTACCCATCCTTTGATGGCGGCTCCCGCGAATAGGGTTCGCAGCGTCGTCGGCTTCACCACAGGGGCAAACAGCTCCTTGAAGTCCACCTTCTCCTTCTGCTGGTACCCCTTGGCTACAAGCCTAGACTTGTAGCGCTCGATCTTGCCGTCGGCATCCGACTTGATTTTGAAGAGCCACTTGGACGTTATCGCCGTACGCCCCTCCGGTAGCTCCACCAATTCAAACGTGTCATTCTCCTCAATGCTCTTCAGCTCACTCTCCATGGCCTTCTTCCACTCCTCAGCATCACTACTCTCCAAAGCCTCCTTGAGAGTTGCTGGTTCTCCCGGCATCTCCACCGGAGAGAAGAACGAGAAGGCACACTCCTCGTAGTCACTCTCCTCGTCGTCTCCGACCATCATTGCCGCTCCGGCCAGGGCTGTCTTGCCCTGCTTTCCCGGCGCATCATAGGTCAGCCTATTAGGGGGTTGAACTCTCCTCTTCCCCCTTCCTTCCTCCTCAGCTGCAGGGACTTGAAGGCCTTGGCGTTGCTGCGGTGTGGCTCGAATCCGTGGAGCACTCGTAGTACGGGAAGGGAGTGACGGTGCACGCTCGCTCACTTGCTGCACCTCCTCCTCTTCTTCCTCTGCATCATTGGCCTCCTCTCCCCCATTCACAAGGGAGGATTGCCTTGTGGTTGTGCTGCCGCTGCTCAGCTCCAAAGGCAGCTCCACATGCTCCAAACCGGAACTCTTCACCTCCCCAAACCGCACGCCTATCTTCGCCTCATTCTCCGCCTTCCAATCCTTGTACATGAAGTTCTCCATGAACTTGCAGTCCCTGCTCACCAAGAACTTCTTGGTGAATGGGTCCCAAAGAAGCCATCCATTGCTGTTTTGAGCCATGCCCAAGTGCACGGCCCACACCGCCTTGGCACCAAGCTTGTTGTGCCGAAGATGCTTAGGCACGAGCGCCATGCACATGCACCCGAACACCCGAAGCATATCCACCTTTGGCTTCCTTCCTAGCCACTCCACATAGGGCACCCATTTGTCTGCTCCCACATGAGTCAAGGCTCTGTTCTTGGCCACACACGCGCTCCGCACCGCATCAGGCCAGAAATAGTCGGGTAGCCCGGCTTCAATGAGCAACCCGCGTGCCGCCTCCGTGATTGTGCGGTTCGCTCGCTC